CGTAGCAAACATGTTAATAGTATTATATGACTGAACTACATATTCTTCTCAACCTGTTCAATTGGAACTAACTATAGAGGATACTTTTTCTATGTTTTATTTATTTATTAGAGATAATCTGTGCCTGAAAATACGATACAACATAAGTGAGAAGTGATGAATTTGGGAGAGGAGAAATTCAATCTGAATGGTTTTAAGATGGATGTTGGTGATTGTTAGATGAGTTTATTTGAGACCGTCAAATGAATTTATTGAAGTTTATCCTATTTTATATTATAAATTTGACACAAATAAAAATAATATTTTATAATTTTTAATCTTCTTACAAATCTTATATTTTACTCATTTTTGGTCATATATTCCATAATGTTTGAACCAAAAGAGGCTCCAATAAATCATATCAATACTCTAAGGAATCAATTTTAGTTTGTTAATTTTAAGAGATTTGGCATAATTTATTTATTTTTATTCTACTACCCAACTTGTTTAACCTAATTAATTTTATTTTTCATAAATCATTACAGTGGACTCAATTAAGAATATTTAAAAAAATATATAAAACATATATAACAAAAAAAAAAAATTATGGTGGCTCCAAACCCCTCCTACCTCCGCCACTGCCGGAGAGAGAGAACTTTTGGGTCCATTTGATGAGTTTACTTGAGGCCGTCGGATGAACTTATTGAAACCTTTTCTGTTTTATATTATAGATAAATCCACGAAACATGATAAAATTGATTTAAAAAAAATATTAATTTATGTATATGTAATCAAAATCAAATTAAATTTAATATAAACTAAAAAACTAATTTATCAAAAAGCATATCGCCAAATTATTTTCTATCAAAAAAAAATCTACAAATATCAGTTATAAAATATTATTTTTTTAATTAGTACAAGTATTGCAAACTTATTAATTTATAAGAATATATTAGTGTTAGGTTTTTTTAAGAGATAAAAAAATTAGTCTTGAATTTTTGATTCAAGATATGTGTAAGACATGTTAGTCTGAGATAATTAATTAAATAAATAAAATTAAAATTAATTATATCCAATATAAATGTGTTAAGAAATGACCTTGTTTTTTTTATCTGTTAAATTGATGAATTTTTTTTAATCAAAATATTATCATTGTGACTTATAAAAATTCAAAATGTTACACTACACAGATTATATTAATGACAAATTTGACTCATTTAATTATTATGTCAAAGAAAATTATATATTTTAAGATCAGCCGTAATCGTTAATCGGATGAAAAAAAATATTAAGAAAAAAAATAATAATTTCTTGATCGTTGGATGAATGAATTTAATATCGTAGGATGTGTTATAAGATCAACCATAATCATTGACCGATTATGGGAGAAAATTAAGGAAAAAAAAAAGATAATCTTTTGACCGTTTAGTAAATGAATTTGAGAACATATGATAGCCTTATCGAAACCCCTATTTTATATTATAGAAATAAATTATAGAGGTTTGGAACTCTCAACAAATTGACCCTACTTACCAACAGACTTTAGGACTACTTACTCTCGAGCATTTGGAATAAGATATTGATGTGGTTTTTCGTCAAAGTCAATCTATTATTTAGAGACTTTTTTCCATCGCATTGTCTCATTCAATATTTTATTATTTCTTTGTCCCAACTCCAACCTCAATTTACTTGCTCACCACACCACACAAACAAACCAACTTTGCTTCCTCAGTGTCATTGGGACCCTCTTATATACTCTCTTTCAAATTCACTAAATTATTTATAAATTTACTTCATGTACATGGATTAATCTCTCACATGTATGATATATATATATATATTATTTATTAAGAAAATTTAAATGACCAAAATAGATTTAGATCGACATTTTTGAAGGAAAAAATATTTTTCTTCCCACCGAGTAATCTATCTAAGTAAGGTCTCGTTGGATCAACTCTTGCAAAAAAACATCTTAGTTATCTTCAATCGTCCATTAACAATAAGAATTTATAAAATTCTAAAGTTACACAAAAAAATCGTATTAAAAATATTTAAATTTACGATTTAATCCAATTCTTACCCCACTAAATATTTAAATTATTTAAATTTACGATTTAATCCAATCCTTACCCCACTATTGGGATACCCTGCAAGTTGAAAATATCCTTGTGGCCACACCACTGGTCCGTGACCTCAATAGACTTTTTTTTTTTTTTATATAGTTTAATAGTCGGTGTTTGAATTAATTTATGTACACCTTAATTAATTTCTTCTTAAGTTATCCACGTTAGATATTTATGAGATATAAATTCGACTCCAAACAATTATTAAAATTCAACCTTAAAATATCTAAATTTACCATTCCATCTCTTAAACTACGTCGGCGTCTTCCCGGACTTTCTGTCTGTGGACATCAGATTCACCGCTCTTGGTCTCTTGTTTGCGTAAACCATGACATCATCATTCACGGTATAGTGCAAAATGCATTACGCCTTAAGGACCACATAAGAGGAAATGGTACAGTCCTGTCCCGTTCGAATCTCACCCCTAATTTATTGATCGTTCCATAAGAACAGTGGACAAATAATGGAAACAAACAAGGAATTGATTTTCATCCATTTCCAATCACATTATTTTTTGTTTTTTATGATGCAATGTTCAGCGTTTTATATAAGACTAATATTTTTTAAATTTAAAAATTATAATCTAATTTATTTCCATAAAAAATGTATCATATGACATGGTTCATTGAAAAAATCTAACATTTATTAGATATTAAATTCGTTTGAAACTGACTTTTTTGAGTGTAAAATAAAAGTTTGAGAAGTGAAATGAAAAAATCATAGCTAAAAAAACATTTTAAATTGTTTGGAGTGTTTATGAAAAATTCAATTTTTTCTTGAAAATCCTTGGATAAACCACATATTTCACTTCTGATAAAAATTGTTTTTGCCCAAAAAATTAATAGAAAAATCATCCAATAATCTCGAGGTCAAACTTTTTTTCTTTTGAAACCAACAAATAAACTTAGATTTTAAGCTAACTCTAAACATGTTCATTATTGGTGATCATATTATTAAATTATCTTAAACTTCTTGATTTTAAACATTTTCTTCAAATTTGTAATTTATTCTTAAAATTCCTACTTGTGTATCATTGGTTAAGAATATATTATCACTAAATAACATGCATAATGAAACTTTATCATAAATGTGTTTGGTTAAATCTATAACATAAATTATGACAGATTTTAATAAATTTATTCGATGGTCTCAAATAGATTTATCGAACGGTCACCAGCATCTCTCTCAAAAGTATTTACATTAAATTTTCTTTCCGCAAATTCATCACTTCTCACTTACTTCACTGGCATCATCACCGGTGGTTAATTTTGGGACCATATTGATTTCAATTTATTTAACTAAAGTAAATTAAAATAATTTTATTTTAAATTAATTAATTGATTTACGTTATACCGTGCCATCAGGCACTCAAAACTAAAAAAATTAAGATAAAATCTTGATATATAATAATATTTGATCTCAATAAAATATGAGTAATGCTAGAGATTTTAAATTTTTAAGCAAATTCACTCATTCTAGGATCTCTGACTGTCTATTAAATTTAGATCCCAAATAAAAAATACATAGAGTTTTTCATAAATTAATTAATGTACGTATAAATTTATCCGAATATCTTTGACCATTAAAAAAGAAGAAGAAGAAAATTTTAAAAAGTACCATCCCGTCGTCAATATGTAAAGCTCTGATCGCATAGTCTTATGGTACTAATTTATTTTTTGATATCTTATCGCAATATATTATCGTTAATAGTTAAGTCACATGAAAAAAAATTAAAATTAACCTTAGAATGTCAGTATTTAGAGGTGTTAAAATATAATACAACTCATTAACATGATACGAAATTAGAAGGTTTGAATCTTTCTTAAATCACCCGTTTCGTAAATAAGTGAACTCGACTTGACACGATTAATAAACAAATCGATTATGAATAAAATCAATCAAAAAAAATATATGATCTAATTCGTTTAAATATTGATCAAACACGACATAATTTCGATATAACACAATTTATCATGAATTAAATATAAATAAAATATTTTTTAAAAAGCACCCCAAAAAATCCAATACAAAGCGAATCTCACTGTCAATCATCGGTAACGTAGACCATCCATATTCATATGATGTCTGTGATGCTTTGATAATCACAAAGTATTAATATAAGATTACTCAGTTGTAATATATACGTGTAGGATTACACCTCCACGGAATTTTATTATCACTCGACTACTTCCTCAGCACTCTCTCTCTCTCTCTCTCTTCCCAAAAAGAGTTCTCTTCTCTCACGAAACTGGGAAAATGCCAACCTTTTTGTCCACTTGTCTTCCCCGGTCGTTGATCTCTCCGTCAACTGAGTCTTGCTCACCACGTTGTCCTACGCACAAGGAAGCCCACCTTGACTCTCTCTCCTGCTTGGACTACAGACTACTCTTCCCTCTCTCCTAATCATATAACAACACATCTTGTATGCATATATACAAGCATCACACCGCGTCACCACACAATATCACTCTCATATTTTAAAACCCAATACAACAGAAACCTGACATACCCACACCCATTCACTCACAGAGACCAAAAAGATCCACAAACAACGCTGGTTCTTCAAGAAGAATCAAATAAGGGTATGTCTGTGTTCCTCTCCCACTTATATTCAATGAGGTACGTCGTAGGAGTTGATTTCCTCCTCAATCCCATTTTCTTACGCGGGTTTTCTGGTTCTGTGCACCTAGTTTTGTTGCTTATCCTATTTATTTCATGGGTTTGCAAGAAAATTAGGACTAATAAGAATGAGGGCCAAAAACAGTGTCTTAGAATCACTAGGTTCTCGTATCACAAACGAACTATGTTTTTTTGTCTGGGTCTGTCACTGTTTAATCTTGTTCTATGCTTATTGAGCCACTTCTATTGGTATAGAAATGGTTGGTCTGAGGAAAAGGTTGTGACCCTTTTAGATTTGGTAATCAAAACACTTGCTTGGTTAATTCTCTCTGTTTTCTTGCACACCCAGTTCTTTAATGCAGGTGCATCAAAGCTCCCAGTTGCTTTAAGAGTTTGGTGGGGGTTTTTCTTCTCCATCTCTTGTTATTCCCTTGTTGTGGACTCTGTTTATTACAAAAAGCACCGAACTTTACCAGTGCAATTTTGGGTGTCTGACATAGTTTGTAGTATTTCTGGGTTGTTCTTCTGTTTTGTGGGGTTTTTAGGTAAGAAAGAAGGTGAAAATGCCCTTCTTCAAGAACCCCTTTTGAATGGTAGTGCTAGTAATGGTATAGAGTCCATTAAGTCTGGTGGGGGTGAAACTGTGACCCCTTATTCCAGTGCTAGTTTCTTTAGTGTCCTTACTTNATAAGTCTGGTGGGGGTGAAACTGTGACCCCTTATTCCAGTGCTAGTCTCTTTAGTGTCCTTACTTTCTCTTGGATGGGTAATTTGATTGCTGCCGGCTCCAAAAAAACTTTGGACCTCGAGGATGTTCCTCAGCTTGCCAGTATTGATAGTGTCAGGTCGGCTTTTCCAATTTTGAGAAATAAGGTAGAATCGGACTGTGAGAGTAGTAGTAAAGTGACGACATATGTGCTGGTGAAGGCTTTGATTTTCACGGTATGGAAGGAAATTCTATTATCAGCTTTTCTTGTGCTTGCTTACACATTGGCCTTGTATGTCGGCCCCTACCTCATTGATACTTTCGTTCAATACCTCAATGGTCATCGTGAATTCAAAAACGAAGGTTATTTTTTGGTTTCTACTTTCTTCATTGCAAAGTTGGTTGAGTGTCTGGCACAGAGACACCGGTTCTTTAAGGTCCAGCAGGCTGGATTCAGAGCCAGGGCTGCATTGGTTGCCATGATCTACAATAAGAGTTTGTCCCTTGCATGCCAATCAAAGCAAAGCCACACAAGTGGGGAGATAATCAATTTCATGACAGTTGATGCTGAGAGGATTGGTGACTTCAGTTGGTATATGCATGATCCCTGGATGCTGCTCCTACGAGTTGGTTTGGCTTTGGCGATCTTATACAAAAACCTTGGGCTTGCTTCACTTGCTACGTTTGTTGCTACTGTAATAGTGATGTTGGCAAATGTTCCTTTGGGGAAGTTGCAGGAGAAATTTCAGGAAAAACTAATGGCATCTAAAGATCAAAGGATGAAGTCGACGTCTGAAATTTTGAGGAACATGAGGATTCTAAAGCTTCAAGGTTGGGAGATGAAGTTTTTGTCTAAAATTGTCGAGCTCAGGAATACTGAGGCAGGATGGCTGAGAAGATACATGTACACTTCCGCGATGACCACTTTTGTTTTTTGGATTGCCCCTACATTTGTGTCTGTGGTCACTTTTGGTGCTTGTATTCTTTTGGGAATCCCACTCGAATCAGGGAAGATGTTGTCTGCACTTGCAACGTTTAGAATACTTCAGCAGCCTATTTATGATCTTCCCGATACAATTTCAATGATTGCTCAGACTAAAGTTTCCCTTGACCGAATTGCTTCATTTCTTCGTCTTCATGACCTGCAGCCGGATGCTATACAGAAGTTGCCGAGAGGTACATCTGACACGGCCATTGAGATAGTTGATGGGAATTTTGCCTGGGATGTGACTTCTCCTAATCCAACTCTCAAAGATATAAATCTCAGAGTGTCTCATGGCATGAGGGTTGCTGTTTGTGGTACCGTTGGTTCAGGCAAGTCAAGCTTAATCTCTTCTATCTTGGGAGAAATGCCCAAAATATCAGGAGCTATTATGCTAAGTGGAACAAAGGCCTACGTTGCTCAGTCACCCTGGATACAGAGTGGGAAGATTGAGGAGAATATACTTTTTGGTAAGGAAATGGACAGAGAGAGGTATGAGAAGGTTCTTGAAGCATGTGCCTTAAAGAAAGACCTGGAAATTCTCTCCTTCGGTGATCAGACAGTTATAGGTGAGAGAGGAATCAATTTGAGTGGTGGACAGAAGCAGAGAATACAGATTGCGCGTGCCCTGTACCAAGATGCTGATATCTATCTATTTGATGATCCATTTAGTGCAGTGGATGCTCATACAGGATCACATCTTTTCAAGGTAACTGCTCTTCACTCTCTGCTCCTAATTAGTCTATAGTTATATTTTTCTGGGAAGCATTATTCACATTTGCCTTTTCATTTTGCATTGTTTTCACTGGAATTGGAGAGTTGCACCCAACAGGGGTAGTCTGAATAGCATTTTCCCTTTTTCCTCTGTTTGACAAAGATCATTCACATTGTCATGAAAAGGAATCATGGTTTCTATCTAATTATTACTACACTGATTTGGCCAAGTACTTGTAAAACAATTATTGCTGTATGCATATTAGTGGATTGTTGTTGTCCTTGTAGAAGGTTAAAATTAAACTTATATAGCTGCAATTCCATCTCCTTATGTCCTGCTTTGTTTACTTTGCTCATATTCCACTCTTCTTTTGTATTTAAATAAGGTAAATTGATGAAGTATGATGTGATAATTGTTGTATGGCAGGAATGTTTACTGGGGCTGCTGGGTACGAAAACTGTAGTTTATGTTACTCATCAAGTGGAGTTCTTACCGTCTGCAGATCTTATCCTGGTGAGCTACTTCTTTGTTTCTTCATTGCTACTGTTGTTATTGTGGTTATGGACACAACTCACCCAATGTAATACTGTCATCAGGTCATGAAAAATGGGAGAATTACGCAAGCTGGAAAATATGACGACATTCTAAATTCAGGAAGCGACTTTATGGAACTTGTGGGTGCCCATAAGGAAGCTTTATTGGTGCTTGATTCTGTAGAAACACATTCAGGCTCGGGAAAATCAAATATTAACGAGGAAGTTGATGGTATTGGGGATGCTAAGAAGGTGCTCAAGGATGAGAAAACTGCGGTTGGTCAAAATGGCAAAGCAGATGATGTTGGGGGGCCAAAAGGTCAGCTTGTTCAAGAAGAAGAAAGAGAGAAAGGTAAAGTTGGTTTTTCAGTCTACTGGAAATATATCACTACCGCGTATGGAGGAGCACTTGTGCCCTTTATATTATTGGCACAAGTTTTCTTTCAGCTACTTCAAATTGGGAGCAATTACTGGATGGCATGGGCAACTCCGGTCTCAAGTAATGTACCGCCTCCTGTTGGAGGCTCGACTCTTCTAATTGTCTATGTAGCTTTGGCAATCGGAAGTTCTTTTTGCATCCTTTCCAGGGCCTTGCTTCTGGTGCCGGCCGGGTACAAGACTGCCACAATCCTGTTCAATAAAATGCATTTCTGCCTTTTGCGCGCCCCTATGTCTTTCTTTGATTCCACCCCTAGCGGACGGATACTGAACAGAGTAAGTGAAATTTGCATTTATTTATTTGCTTATACAGTTGTTATTATTGTTCTGTTTTATGTTTTCTACAACAGGAGTGCTCAATGATTTTACATACTTTTACAACTCCAGAATTTTACTGTGCCAAGCTATGTTCCTCTCACAGGCATCTACAGATCAAAGTGCAGTTGATTTGGACATTCCATTTCAAGTTGGGACTTTTGCCTTCTCAATAATACAACTCCTTGGAATTATTGCAGTGATGTCGCAGGTTGCTTGGCAGGTCTTCCTCATTTTTATTCCTGTCATTACAATTTGCATCTGGTTACAGGTAGACTTATAGTCCCTTCTCAGAATCTTATAAAGTAATTTCAAATTATTGGGTATCGTTTCGTTGTACCACCAGAATCTCAAACCTTGTGGGCACATGGATTTGCTATGTTCTTGTTGTTTTATTTAACCTATGCCTAAGTTGAGGACGTCTTTGTTAATGCATGATTGTAGCAGTTCCTTATGATCTTCTTCATTGCAGCAATATTACATACCAGCAGCACGAGAATTGGCACGGTTAATTGGAGTGTGCAAAGCTCCAGTTATACAGCATTTTGCTGAAACAATCTCAGGATCAACTACGATTAGAAGTTTTGATCAGGAATCTAGATTCCGGGACACAAATATGAAATTGATAGATGGGTATTCTCGACCAAAGTTTCACAGTTCTGGTGCAATGGAGTGGCTATGCATTCAGTTGGATATGTTGTCTTTAATTACATTCGCCTCATCCTTGGTTTTTTTGATCTCTGTTCCGGTGGGAGCAATTGATCCAAGTAAGTGATTCTTGTTAATCATCTATGACAAGCATCAATTGCTTCTGCAATTGTGAATGGTTTGAAGAATACATGACACTTTCTTTTCTCCCCTTCTGTATGTAAAGGTGTTGCGGGATTAGCAGTGACATATGGGCTTAATTTGAACATGATACAAGCTTGGGTCATACGGAATCTTTGTAATCTAGAGAATAAAATTATATCAGTTGAAAGGATACTTCAATACACTTCTCTTCCCAGTGAGCCTCCTCTTGTTATAGAATCTGCCAGGCCAGAGGCAGATGGTCACTGGCCGTCACATGGTAAAGTTGACATTTGTGATCTAAAGGTAATTTTGATTCTTTGTTGGAATTCCTCTATGCCAAATTAGTTCTCAAAGTAATATGTAGGGTCATTCCTGGGTTCTTTCTCCATAATTGATGTCTATATGCATTTTAATAATGCCAAGCATTGATATAGGTGCGATATGCCCCACACATGCCACTTGTGTTAAGAGGCCTCACGTGCACTTTCCCCGGAGGAAAGAAGACTGGCATTGTAGGAAGAACGGGCAGTGGTAAATCAACACTTATACAGACACTCTTCCGTATTGTTGAACCCGATGGTGGACACATTTTTATAGATGATATCAACATCTCTTCGATCGGGCTGCATGATTTAAGATCTAGATTGAGCATAATTCCACAGGACCCAACCATGTTTGAGGGGACGATACGAAGCAACCTGGATGCGCTTGAAGAGCATACGGACGAACAGATTTGGGAGGTGGGCATGGTTTTATTTGACGTTTGTGCCCGTTTGGAACAAAAATGGGAAAAATGCAAATGTCAGGGATTGATTTAAAAATTTTTACGGCGGCGTAGTTAACTGTTTTTCGTTTGTTTAGGCTCTCGATAAGTGCCAGCTTGGAGAGGAGGTTAGGAAGAAGGAAGGCAAACTTGATTCAGCAGGTTTGCTTTATTTCCACTTTCACATAAACTTCAGAGATTTCTTTAACCCCTATAATCACTGGAATTCTTATTTCTTATTGTTCCTATGATTTTTTCAGTTAATGAGAATGGAGAGAATTGGAGTGTGGGTCAAAGACAGCTGGTCTGTCTTGGCCGTGTGCTACTGAAGAAAAGCAAGGTTTTGGTGCTTGATGAGGCTACAGCATCAGTTGATACAGCAACTGATAATCTGATCCAGCAAACCTTGAGGCAACACTTCTTCGACTCCACAGTCATAACCATTGCACATAGAGTAACATCTGTGCTCGGCAGTGACATGGTCCTACTATTAGATCATGGTTAGATCACGTTCAGCCTTCAGTACATATTATTATCCTTGAGGCTTTGGAGTAAAATCATCTTTAGACTTTTTCATTTTTCCTCTGGTGCAGGATTAATCGAGGAATACGATACTCCAACAAAATTGCTGGAAAACAAGTCATCTTCATTTGCTAAGCTCGTAGCAGAGTACAGCGTGAGATCAAATTCTAGTTACGAGACTTCGAGAACTTTGGATGCCGGACCACACCATTAATGGCTGATGTTATGCGATGATGATGACCTTCAAGTTGTAGTTATTGTCTCAGGTACAATTTGCCCTAATGAATGGGGCATCTTCTATGATCCAAACGGTTTTCCTATTTGAGTGTATGTGATATATGGAAAGCCAAGTTATTCGTTGGCACATGTTCTACGCAAGATGCGTTATGATTTTGATAATGCAATGGAGTTCATGTATACTATTATAAATTCTAATGCATGTTAAGTTGTATTACTACGTAAGATGAATAATCAATAAAGAGTTGGTATTGAGTATTTTTATGTGGGTAGAGATGAGTTTAACATGTTTTAAGCGTTTGTTTGAGCATGTCTGTGGTAGAGACTAGAGAAGATACGTATATATAGTGGTTTTTCTTTTTCTTTTTTCTTTGTTGATTAATTTTCGATCTTGTTTTATGACTTTCAAGTGTACATAGAAAAACTAAACTAAACGGCACGCCACTACCACACATAGTGCAACTCATGAGTTTCATTTTCAAACAAAAATCTTAATGATAGTTTGAGTTAGAGTTGTTATAATTTTATGATATTAAAGATAGAAATTGAGAATTTTAATCTTTGTTGTATTGATGGTTGGTTATTCGCCATAGCATCCAGGTCTTGCAAATGGCTCGTGACCTCATGATGGGTGATGAACATCTTTTGATCGGTCTCATATTATTTTATTTTCATTGGGTTTGAGCACATGAGACGTTTTCGCGTAAGCCAATTTACACGGTAGCATGCATGCCACTAGCTTCCAAGGTGGCCGATAAGAAATTCTGTCTCTTTCAATATTTTATTATTTCTTTGTTCCAATCCCGATCTCAATTTACTTGCTTACGTCACCACACCACACATACAAACCAACGTTGCTTTCCCCAATGTCATTGGGACCCTCTTATATACTTTCTTTCAATTTCACTAAATTATTTATAAATTTATTTCATGTACACGGATTAATCTCTCACATGTATGATATAGATTTACACTGACATTTTTGAAGGTGAATAGATTTTTTTTTTCCCTACCGAGTAATCTCTCTAAGTAAGGTCTCGTTAGATCAACTCCTACAAAAAAACATCTTAGTTATCTTCAATCGTCCATTAACAATAATAAGCATCCATAAAATTCTAGAGTTACACACAAGAATCGTATTCAAAATATTTAAATTTACGATTTACTCCAAGCCTTATCCCACTATTGGGATACCCTGCAGGTTGAAAATATCCTTGTGGTGGCCACACCGCTGGTCCGTGACCTTGATAGACTTTTTTTTTTGTTTTACGGTTAGTATTCGGATTAATTTATGTACATCTCAATTAATTTTTTTTTATATTATCCACGTTAGAATTAAGATAATTATGAAATATAAATTATTCATAGTCTAACTCCAAAAAACTATTAAAATTTAAATTCAAAAAATTTAAATTTATCACTCATTCCTATTATCTCTTAAACTACGGTGGCGTCTTCACGGACTTTCTGTGAACATCACATTCACCGCTCTTGGCCTCTTGTTTGCATAAACCATGACATCATGGTTCGCGGTTTAAATTTATTGATCGTTCCATAAGGGCAGTGGACAAATATTGGAAACAAACAAGGAATTGATTTTCATCCATTTACAATCACATTATTTTTTGTTTTTTATGATGCAATGTTCAGTCTTTTATAAAAGAGTAATATTTTTTAGATTTTTAAATTATAATCTAATTAATTGACATAAAAATGTATCATATGACATGGTTCATTGAAAAAATCTAACATTTATTAGATATTGAATTCGTTTGAAACTGACTTTTTTGAGTGTAAAATAGAAGTTTTGAAAGTGAAATGAAAAAATCATAGTTAAAAAAACACTTTGAACCGGTTGGAGTGTTTTCAAAAAAGCCAATTTTTTCTTGAAAGCTCTTGGATAAATCTCATATTTTAGTTTTTCTTTTGTGTTGATAAAAGTTTTTTTTGCCCAAAAAAAATTAATGGAAAAACCGTCCAATAAACTCGAGTTCAAATAGTTCAGACTTTTTTTTCTTTGAAACCAACAAATAAGCAAAGATTTTAAGCCAACTCTAAATAAGTTCATTATCGGTTGTCATATCATTATATTATTAAATTATCTTAAACTTCTTGATTTTAAACTTTTTCTTCAAATTTGTAATTTATTCTTAATTCCTACTTGTATGTCATTGGTCAAGATTACATTATCACTAAATAACATGCATAATGAAACTTTATCATAAATGTGCTTAGTTAAATCTATAATATACAATATGACAGATTTTAATAAATTCATTTGATAGTTTCAAATAAATTTATCGAACGGTCACCAATATATCTCTTAAAATTATCTACATTAAATTTTCCTCCCTCAAATTCATCACTTCTCACTTATCTCATTAGCATCATCACCGGTGGTTAATTTTGGGACTATATTGATTTCAATTTCTTTAATTAAAGTAAATTAAAGTAATTTTTTTTTTCAAATTAATCAATTGGTTTACGTTACACTGTGTCTTCAGGCATGAATTACCTCTAGTTACTTATAATCAAAACTAAAAAAATACAAAAAAATTAAGGTAAAATCTTGATATAAAATAATAGTTGATCTCAACAAAGTATGAGTAATGCTAGAGATTTTAAATTTTTAAGCAAATTCACTCGTTATAGGGTCTGTGACTCTATTAAATTTAGATCCCAAATAAAGAATGCATAGAGTTTTTTTTTATAAATTAATCGACTTACGAAAAGATTGATTCGAACATATTTGACCATTAAAAAAGAAAGAAAAAGAGATTTTTAGAGAGTTGTAGTTATTGTCCCAGGTACAATTTGCCCTAATGGATGGGGGCATCTTATGTGATCCAAACTGTTCTCCTATTTGAGTGTATGCGATATATGAAAAGCCAAGTTATACGTTGGTATATGTTCTACGCAAGATGCGTTATGATTTTTATAATGCAATGGAGTTCATGTATATTACTATAAATTCTAATGCATGTTAAGTTGTATTACTGCATAAGATGAACAATCAATAAAGAGTTGATATTGAGTATTATTATGTGGGTAGAGATAAGTTTGACTAGTTTTACGCACTTTTTTGAACATGTATTAGATAGAGACTAGAGAAGATATGTATGTATGATGATTTTTCTTTTTCTTTGTTGATTGATTTCCACATAAAAAAAAACAAAACGGCACGCCGCTACCGCACATAGTACAACTCATATGTTTCATTTTCAAACAAAAATGTTTAATGATAGTTTGAGTGAGAGTTGTTATAATTTTATGAAATTAAATATACAAATTGAGAAATTTAATCTTTGTTGTAGTGATGGCATATTCGTCATCGCATCCCGGGCTTGCAAATGGGTCGTGACCTCAAGATGAGTGATGAACATCTTTTAATCAGTCTCATATTATTATATTCTCATTAGGTTTAAGCATATGAGACTATAGCATGCATGCCCGCTAGATTCCAAGGTGGCCGATAAATAATTCTGTCTCTTTCAATATTTTATTATTTCTTTGTCACAACCCCAACCCCAACCCCAACCCCAATCTCAATTTAGTTGCTCACCACACCACACAAAACACCGCCGTTGGTTATCTAATGTCATTTGACTATTCTTTTTTAAACATGGAGATTCCCGCATATACTTTTTTACTTGTTTTTCACCTATCAATTTTATAGTATTATATGACTGAACTGCCTCTTCTCCTCAACGTTTTCAATTGGAACTAGCTACAGAGGGCATTTTTTCTGTGTTTTATTTACTTACCAAGAGTAATTCGTGTTTAAAAACACAATAAAACGTAAGTGAAAAATGATGAATTTAGGGGAGAAAAAATTCAATGTGAATGATTTTAAGAAGAATGTTGGTGATCGTTAGATGAGTTTATTTGAGATCGTCAAATGAACTAATTAAAGTCTACCATATTTTATATTATACATTTCACACAAATAAAAGTAATATTTTATAATTTTAAATCTTTTTACAAATTCTATATTTTACTCATTTTTGACAATATATTCCATATTTTTTTAATCAAAAGAGGCTCCAACAAATCATACCAATACTCTAAAAAATTAATTTTAATTTTCTAATTTTAAGAGATTTTGTATGAATTTTTTTTTGGGGTTATAATAGCTAACTTGTTTAACTCAATTAATTTTATTTTTCATAAATCATTATAGTGGACTCAATTAAGAATATCTAAAAAAATATATATATAACTAAAAAAAAAAAAATCAGGCTGGCCTAGACCGCTCCTCCCTCCTCCATTGTTAGAGAGAGAGAGAGAGAGTAAATAGTGAGAAAAGAACGGTAAAATTCAATATTAATGATTTGGAAAGAGATGTTAAGGCGTTTGATGAGTTTATTTGAGATCGTCGGATGAACTTATTGCAGTCTTTTCTGTTTTATATAATAGATAAATCCACGAAATATGATAGAATTGACTTAAAAAAAATTAATTTATATATATGTAATCAAAATCGAGTTAAAAATAATATAAACTAAAATCTAATTTATCAAAAATCATATCGCCAAAATATTTTTTATCAAAAAAAGATCTACAAATATCATTTATAAAATATTATTTTTTAATTAGTACAAGTTTTTACAAATTTATTAATTTATAAGAATATATTAGCGTTAAGTATTTTTAAGAGATAAAAAAATTAGTTTTAAACTTTTGATTCAAGATATGTGTAAGACATATTAGTTTGAGATAATTAATTAAATAAATAAAATTAAAATTAATTATATTCAATATAAATGTGTTAAGCAACGACCTAATTTTTTTCTATCTATTAAATTGATGAATTTTTTTAATCAAAATATTATCATTGTGTCTTATAAAAATTTAAAATGTTACACTACGCATATAATATTAATAGCAAATTTGACTCATTTAATTATTATGTCAAAGAAAATTATGTGTTCTAAGATTAGTCGTAATCGTTGATCAGTTAAAAGAGACATTAAGGAAAAAAAAATAATTTTTTAATTGTTAAATAAATAAATTTGAGAACATATGATATTCATGTTGAAATCTTCTTATTTTATGTTATGAAGAAGTTTGGAACTCTCGACAAGTTGACCCCACTTACCAACAGGCATTAGTACTACCTACTCTCCGGCATTTGGAATAAGATACTGATGTCTTTTTTCATCAAAGTCATTCAATTATCTAGACTTTTTCTATCACATTGTCTCTTTCAATGTTTTATTATTTCTTTGTCTCAACCCCAATCTCAGTTTACTTGCTCACCACACCACACCACACGAACAAACCAACGTTGCTTCCCCAACGTTTTTAGAGACGGAGATTCATTTCATATATTTTTTTTTCAATTTCACTAAATCATCTATAAATTTACTTCATTTATTAAGAAAATTTAAATGGCCAAAATAGATTTAAATCGACATTTTTGAAGGTAAAATTTTTTTTTTCCACCGAGTAATCTCTCTAAGTAAGGTCTTGCTGAATCAACTCTTACAAAAAAACATCTTAGTTATCTTCAATCGTCCATTAACAATAAGCATCCATAAAATTCTAGAGTTACGCACAAAAATCGTATTCAAAATATTTAAAGATACGATTTACTCCAAACCTTATTCCACTATTGAATTACCCTGCAGGTTGAAAATATCCTTGTGGTGGCCACACCACTGGTCCGTGACCTTGATAGACCTTTTTATCTTTTTTAAAGTTTAATGGTCAATGTTTGGATTAATTTATATATACCTCAATTAATTTCTTCTTAAATTATTCACATTAAAACTAAGATATTTATAAAATATAAATTTTTCATAGTCTGACTCTAAAAAATTATTAAAATTCAAGTTCAAAATATCTAAATTTACCACTCATCTTTATTATCTCTTAGTGTACGTTGGCGTCTTCACGGACTTGCTGTCTATGAACATCAAATTCACCGCTCTTGGCCTCTTGTTTGCTTAAACCATGGCATCATGGTTCGTGGTATAATACAAAATGCTTTACGCCTTAAGGACCGCATAAGAGAAAATGATACTGTCCTGTCCCGTTCGAATCTCACCACTAATTTTTTGATCGTTCCATAAGAACAGTGGACAAAAAATGGAAACAAACAAGGAATTGATTTTCATCCATTTACAATCACATTATTTTTTGTTTTTTATGATGCAATGTTCAATGTTTTGAAAAAGAATAATATTTTTTAGATTTAAAAATTATAATCTAATTTATTGACATTAAAAATGTATCATATGACATGATTCATTAAAAAAATCTAACATTTATTAGATATTAAATTCGTTTGAAACTGACTTTTTTGAGTGTAAAATAAAAATTTGAAAAGTGAAATAAAAAAGTTATAGTTAAAAAAATATTTTGAACTGTTTGGAGTGTTTCAGAAAAAGTCAAATTTCTATTTAAAAACCTTAAATAAACCCTATATTTCAGTTCTGATAAAAATTATTTTTGCCCAAAAAACTAATGAAAAAATCGCCCAATAATCTCGAGTTCAAACAGTCCAGGTTTTTTTTTCCTTTGAAACCAACAAATAAACTGAGATTTTAAGCTAACTCCAAATAAGTTTCATTATCTGTTGTCATATCATTAAAGTATCTTAAACTTCTTGATTTTAAACTTTTTCTTCAAATTTGTAATTTATTCTTAATTCTTACTTGTATTTCATTGGTCAAGAATATATTATCACTAAATAACATGTATAATGAAACTTTATCATAAAATATAATAGATTTTAATAAATTCATTCAACGATCTCAAAATAGACTTATCGAACGGTCACCGCTATCGGTGATTCAACGTAGATCAGCCATATTCATCTGATGGCTGTGATGCTTTGATAATCACAAAGTTATAAAATAAGAGGACTCAGTTGTAATATGTACGTGTAGGATTACACCTCTTTGGAATTTTTTTATCACTCGACTGCTTCTCAGCACTCTCTCTCTCTTTCTCTCACTAACCTGGGAAAACGCTTGTCTTCCCCGGTCGTTGATCTCTCCTTCCACCGAGTCTTGCTCACCACGTTATCCTATGCCCAAGGAAGCCCACCTTGACTCTCTCTCCTCGTTGGAGTACAGACTACTCTTCCCTCTCTCCTAATCATATAACAACACATCTTGCATGTATATATATACATGCATCACACCGCGTCACCACACAATATCACTCTCATATTTTAAAACCCAATACAACAGAAACCTGACATCCCCACACCCATCCACTAACAGAGACCAAAAAGCTCCACAAACAACGCTGGTTCTTCAAGAAGAATCAAATAAGGGTATGTCTGTGTTCCTCTCCCACTTATATTCAATGAGGTACGTCGTAGGAGTTGATTTCCTCCTCAATCCCATTTTCTTACGTGGGTTTTCTGGTTCTGTGCATCTAGTTGTGTTGCTCATTCTATTTATCTCATGGGTTTGCAAGAAAACTCGGATTAATAAGATTGAGGGCCCAAAACAGAGTGTTAGAATCACTAGGTTCTCGTATCACAAGCGAACTATGTTTTTTTGTCTGGGTCTGTCACTTTTTAATCTTGTTCTATGCTTATTTAGCCACTTCTATTGGTATAGAAATGGTTGGTCTGAGGAAAAGGTTGTGACCCTTCTAGATTTGGTAATCAAAACACTTACCTGGTTAGTTCTCTCTGTTTTCTTGCACACCCAGTTCTTTAATTCAGGTGCATCAAAGTTCCCAGTTGCTTTAAGAGTTTGGTGGGGGGTTTTCTTCTCTATCTCTTGTTATTCCCTTGCTGTGGACTTTGTTTATTACAAAAAGCACCGAGCTTTACCAGTCCAATTTTGGTTGTCTGACATAGTTTGTAGTATTTCTGGGTTGTTCTTCTGTTTTTTGGGGTTTTTAGGTAAGAATGAAGGTGGAAATGCCATTCTTCAAGAAGCCCTTTTGCATGGTAGTGCTAGTAATGGTATAGAGTCCAATAAGTCTGGCGGGGGTGAAACTGTGACCCCTTATTCCAGTGCTAGTTTCTTTTGTGTCCTTACTTTCTCTTGGATGGGTAATTTGATTGCTGCCGGCTCCAAAAAAACGTTGGACCTCGAGGATGTTCCTCAGCTTGCCAGTATTGATAGTGTCAGGTCGGCTTTTCCAATTTTGAGAAATAAGGTAGAATCGGATTGCGAGAGTAGTAGTAAAGTGACAACATTTGTGCTGGTGAAGGCTTTGATTTTCACGGTATGGAAGGAAATTCTATTATCAGCTTTTCTTGTGCTTGCTTACACATTGGCTACTTATGTCGGCCCCTACCTCATTGATACTTTCGTTCAATACCTTAATGGTCGTCGCGGAGTCAAAAACGAAGGTTATCTTTTGGTTTCTACATTCTTCATTGCAAAGGTAGTTGAGTGTCTTGCACAGAGGCACTGGTTTTTTAAGTCCCAACAGGCTGGATTTAGAGCTAGGGCTGCATTGGTTGCCATGATCTACAATAAGGGTTTGACCCTTTCATGTCAATCAAAACAGAGTCACACTAGTGGGGAGATCATCAATTTCATGACCGTTGATGCGGAGAGAATTGGTGACTTCGGTTGGTATATGCATGATCCTTGGATGGTGCTCTTACAAGTTGCTTTGGCTTTGGCAATCTTATACAAAAATCTTGGGCTTGCTTCAATTGCTACATTTGTTGCTACTGTGCTAGTGATGTCGGCAAACTTTCCTTTGGGAAAGTTGCAGGAGAAATTTCAGGAAGAACTAATGGCATCTAAAGATCGAAGGATGAAGTCCACGTCCGAAATTTTGAGGAACATGAGGATTCTCAAGCTTCAGGGTTGGGAGATGAAGTTCTTGTCAAAAATTGTCGAGCTCAGGAACACGGAGGCAGGATGGTTGAGAAGATACGTGTACACTACCGCCATGACCTCTTTTGTTTTTTGGGTCGCCCCAACATTTGTGTCTGTGGTCACGTTTGGTGCTTGTATGCTTATGGGAATCCCACTGGAATCAGGGAAGATATTGTCTGCACTTGCAACATTTAGAATACTTCAAGAGCCTATTTATAATCTTCCTGATACAATTTCAATGATTGCTCAGACCAAAGTTTCCCTTGACCGAATTGCTTCATTCCTCCGTCTCCATGACCTGCAGCCGGATGTTATACAGGTGCTGCCGAGAGGTACATCTGACAGAGCCATAGAGATAGTTGATGGGAATTTTGCTTGGGATGTGTCTTCTCCTACTTCAACTCTCAAAGATATAAATCTCATGGTGTCTCGTGGCATGAGGGTTGCTGTTTGCGGTACCGTTGGTTCAGGCAAGTCGAGCTTAATCTCTTCTATCTTGGGAGAAATGCCCAAAATATCAGGAGCTATTATGCTAAGTGGAACAAAGGCTTACGTTGCTCAGTCACCCTGGATACAGAGTGGGACGATTGAGGAAAATATACTTTTTGGTAAGGAAATGGACAGAGAGCAGTATGAGAAGGTTCTTGAAGCGTGTTCCTTAAAGAAAGACCTGGAAATTCTCTCCTTCGGTGATCAGACGGTTATAGGTGAGAGAGGAATCAATTTGAGTGGTGGACAGAAACAGAGAATACAGATTGCGCGTGCCTTGTACCAAGATGCTGATATCTATCTTTTTGATGATCCATTTAGTGCGGTGGATGCTCATACAGGGTCCCATCTTTTCAAGGTAATTACTCTCTAACTCTCTGGTCCTATTTCCTCTAGAACTATATTTTTTTTTCTGAGAAGCATTATTCGCATTTACCTTTTCATTTTGCACTGTTTCCACAGGAATTGGAGTGTTTCACTCAACAAGGGTAGTATGAATTGCATTTCCCTTTTTCCTCTGTNAGAGATAGTTGATGGGAATTTTGCTTGGGATGTGTCTTCTCCTACTTCAACTCTTAAAGATATAAATCTCAGGGTGTCTCGTGGCATGAGGGTTGCTGTTTGCGGTACCGTTGGTTCAGGCAAGTCGAGCTTAATCTCTTCTATCTTGGGAGAAATGCCCAAAATATCAGGAGCTATTATGCTAAGTGGAACAAAGGCTTACGTTGCTCAGTCACCCTGGATACAGAGTGGGAAGATTGAGGAAAATATACTTTTTGGTAAGGAAATGGACAGAGAGCAGTATGAGAAGGTTCTTGAAGCGTGTTCCTTAAAGAAAGACCTGGAAATTCTCTCCTTCGGTGATCAGACGGTTATAGGTGAGAGAGGAATCAATTTGAGTGGTGGACAGAAACAGAGAATACAGATTGCGCGTGCCTTGTACCAAGATGCTGATATCTATCTTTTTGATGATCCATTTAGTGCGGTGGATGCTCATACAGGGTCCCATCTTTTCAAGGTAATTACTCTCTAACTCTCTGGTCCTATTTCCTCTAGAACTATATTTTTTTTTCTGAGAAGCATTATTCGCATTTACCTTTTCATTTTGCACTGTTTCCACAGGAATTGGAGTGTTTCACTCAACAAGGGTAGTATGAATTGCATTTCCCTTTTTCCTCTGTTTGGCAAAGATCACTTGCATTGTCATGAAAAGGAATCATGGTTTCTGTTTAATTATTACCACACTGATTTGGTCAAGTACTTGTAAAACAATTATTGCTGTATGCATATCATTGGATTATTGATATCCTTGTAGAAGGTCAAAATTAGTTGTATATAGCTGTGATATCATCTCCTTATGCCCTGCCTTGTTTACTTTGCTCATCTTCCATTCTTCTTTTGTATTTAAGTAAGGTAAATTGATGAAGTATGATGTGATAATCGTTGTATGGCAGGAATGTTTACTGGGGCTTCTGGGTACTAAAACAGTAGTTTATGTTACTCATCAAGTGGAATTCTTACCTGCTGCAGATCTTATCCTGGTGAGCTACTTACTTGTTTCTTCATTGTCATTGTGGTTACGGACAAAACTCACCCAATGTAATGATTGTTATCAGGTCATGAAAAATGGGAGAATTTCGCAAGCTGGAAAATATGAAGACATTCTAAATTCAGGAAGCGACTTTATGGAACTTGTGGGTGCCCATAAGGAAGCTTTATTGGTGCTTGATTCTGTAGAAACACGTTCAGGCTCAGGAAAATCAAATATCAGCGAGGAAGTTGATGGTATTGGGGAGGCTAAGAAGGTTCTCAAGGATGAGAAAACTGCAGTTGGTCAAAATGGCAAAGCAGATGATGTTGGGGGGCCAAAAGGTCAGCTTGTTCAAGAAGAAGAAAGAGAGAAAGGTAAAGTTGGTTTTTCAGTCTACTGGAAATATATCACAACTGCGTATGGAGGAGCACTTGTGCCCTTTATATTGTTGGCACAAGTTTTGTTTCAGCTACTTCAAATTGGAAGCAATTACTGGATGGCATGGGCAACTCCGGTCTCCAGCAATGTACCGGCTCCTGTTGGAGGCTCTACTCTTCTAGTTGTCTATGTAGCTTTGGCAATCGGAAGTTCTTTTTGCATCCTTTCGAGGGCCTTACTTCTTGTAACGGCCGGGTACAAGATTGCCACAATACTGTTCAATAAAATGCATTTCTGCCTTTTTCGTGCCCCTATGTCTTTCTTTGATGCCACCCCTAGCGGACGAATTCTGAACAGAGTAAGTGTGAAATATACATTTGTTTGTTTGTTTATACAATTGTTATTGTTGTTCAGTTTTATATTTTCTACAATAGGAGTGCTCGACATACTTCTACAACTCCAGAATTTTATTAAACCATGCTATGTTCCTCTCACAGGCATCTACGGACCAAAGTGCACTGGATTTGATCATTCCATCTCAAGTTTCTGCTTTTGCCTTCTCAATCATACAACTTCTGGGAATTATTGCAGTAATGTCGCAGGTTGCTTGGCAGGTCTTCATCATTTTTATTCCTGTCATTGCAATTTGCATCTGGTTACAGGTAGCCTTATATTCCCTTCTCAGAATCTTATAAAGTAATTTCAAATTATGGTTATCATTTCGTTGTACCATCAGTAATCTCAAACCTTGTGGGCACATGGATTTGCTATATTCTCGTTCTTTTATATAACCCTACGCCCAAGTTGAGGGCATGTTTTTGTCCATGCATGATTGTAGTAGTTGCTCGTGTTCTTCTTAATTGCAGCAATATTACATATCTTCAGCACGAGAATTGGCACGGTTAATTGGAGTATGCAAAGCTCCAGTTATACAACATTTTGCTGAAACAATCTCAGGATCAACTACAATTAGAAGTTTTGATCAGGAATCTAGATTCCGGGACACAAATATGAAATTGATAGATGGGTATTCTCGCCCAACATTTCACAGTTCTGGTGCAATGGAGTGGCTATGCATTCGCTTGGATATGTTGTCTTTAATTACATTTACCTCTTCCTTGGTTTTTTTGATCTCTGTTCCGGAGGGAACAATTGATTCGAGTAAGTGGTTCTTGTTTATCATCTTTGTCAATTATCCTTTGCTTCTGCAATTGTGAATGGTGTGAAGAATACATGACACGCTCTTTTATCCCCTTGTGTGTTTAAAGGTGTTGCGGGATTAGCAGTAACATATGGGCTTAATCTTAACATGTTACAAGCTTGGGTCATATGGAATCTTTGTTCTATGGAGAATAAAATTATATCAGTTGAAAGAATACTTCAATACACTTCTCTCCCTAGTGAGCCTCCTCTTGTTATAGAATCAAACAGGCCAGAGGCAGACGGTCACTGGCCATCACATGGTGAAGTTGACATTCGTGATCTCAAGGTAAATTTGATTTTTGGTTGGTCTTTCTCTATGCCAAATGAGTTCTCAAAGTAATATGTAGGGTCATTCATGGGTTCTCCATACTCGACGTCTGTATGCATGTTGCTAATGCCAAGCATTGATATAGGTGCGATATGCCCCACACATGCCACTTGTGTTAAGAGGCCTCACATGCACTTTCTCTGGAGGAAAGAAGACTGGCATTGTAGGAAGGACGGGCAGTGGTAAATCAACACTTATACAGACACTCTTCCGTATTGTTGAACCCGATGGTGGACACATTTTTATAGATGATATCAACATCTCTTTGATCGGGCTGCATGATTTAAGATCTAGATTGAGTATAATTCCACAGGATCCAACCATGTTTGAGGGGACGATAAGAGGAAACCTGGATCCGCTGGAAGAGCATACGGACGAACAGATTTGGGAGGTGGGCATGGCTTTATTTGATGTTTATACTTGTTTGGAACAAAAAGAATATGCAAATGTCCGGGATTGATTTCATAATTCTGTAAATATGTTGTTAAGGCTGCGTAGTTAACTAATTTTCATTTGTTTAGGCTCTCGATAAGTGCCAGCTTGGAGACGAGGTTAGGAAGAAGGAAGGCAAACTTGATTCAGCAGGTTTGCTTTATTTCCACTTTCACATAAACTCCATAGATTTCTTTAACTCCTATAATCACTGGAATTCTTATTTCTCATTGTTCCTATGATTTTTTCAGTTAATGAGAATGGAGAGAATTGGAGTGTGGGTCAAAGACAGCTGGTCTGTCTTGGCCGTGTTCTACTGAAGAAAAGCAAGGTTTTGGTGCTTGATGAGGCAACAGCATCAGTTGATACAGCGACTGATAATCTGATTCAGCAAACCCTGAGGCAACACTTCTCCGACTCCACAGTCATAACCATTGCACATAGAATAACATCTGTGCTCGACAGTGACATGGTCCTACTATTAGATCTTGGTTAGATCACATTCAGCCTTCAGTACATATTATTATCTATCCTTGAGGCTTTGGAGTAAAATCATCTTGATTTTTTCATTCTTCCTCTGGTGCAGGATTAATCGAGGAATACGATACTCCAACCAAGTTGCTGGAAAACAAGTCATCTTCGTTTGCTAGGCTCGTAGCAGAGTATAGTGTGAGATCAAAATGATGATGACCATCAAGTTGTAGTTATGTTCTCAGGTACAATTTGCCCCAATGGATGGGGCATCTTCTATGTTCCAAATTATTCTCCTATTTGAGTGTATGTGACGTGTGGAAAGCCAACTTATACGTGCGTATATGTTCTACGCAAGATGCGTTATGAATAATCAATAAAGAATTGGTACCGAGTATTATTATGTTGTTGGTAGAGATGAGTTTGACAGGTTTTAAGAATTTGCTTGGGCATGTTTGGGATAGAGAAGATATGTATGGTGGTTTTTCTTTTTCTTTGTTAACTGATTTTGGTCTGGTTTTATGGTATGCATGTTTACATAGAAAAACTAAACGGCACGCCACTACCCCCACCCCCACATAGTCCAACTCACGTGCTTCATTTTTTGTTTTTGGGGCGTTTTGTCAAGCACATGGATAGAAAAAATTGTAAGGCGAGAAAATGACAGGAAACTTTCACTCAAATGGGGTATATGATGGGGGACAAAGATTTTTGGAGTAGGGCAATTTACATGGTACTGTGCCACTACTAGATTCCAAGGTGGCCCAATTTGCCAATCAGCTAAGTGATTCTGAATCTTTGAGTCTAATTACGGTAATGAAAAATAAATATTTTTTTCAATCAAATAAAACAAGGCACGTGTAAACTTTTTGTAATTTATAATTCTATTTTATTTTATTATTTTTAAGATCAACGGATACAAACAAATCAAGATACCATTTACAATTAACAATGAATTTCAATATAATACCACCATCTCAGTACTTAATGCTAGTATTACTATTTTCTATTACTGAAGTAAGCTACAGAGCTGCTGGAGGGAGGGAGGGAGGGAGGAAGAGAGAGAGATTCTTTGTTTGGTTTATATCTTAAAAAATAGTATTCGAAACAGTTTTTAGGAAGACTTTTGAAAATTATTTTTGCTATTTTTTATGTCGCAGAACTTGTTTGGTTATATGATTCAAAAAATAGATCTACGACATAAAAATCAGTAAAATTTATTTAAAAAATAATCCAAAAATAATAAAAATAGTAATGTGGTGGTGGTGGGAGTGTGTGTGGTTGGTCGTGGTGATGGTGAAAGGGTGGTGGAAAAGTGGTGGTGGAAGTGTGGTGGTTGTGAAAGTGTGGTGGTGGTGGTGGTGGTAGAAGTGTGGTGGTGGTGGTGATAGTTTCTAAATTTTGAAAAGTTTATTTTTAAAATCGCACAAAATTTCTTTAACTTATTTTTTATTTTATTCTCAATTTAAAAAAAAACCAGTTAAATAACTTGTTTTTCCAAAATTGTTTTTAAAAATAAAAAATAATTTCTGAAATACAAACCAAACATGACATACTTTTTTTTCTCATTTTTCATTTATCCATTTTTCTTCGGACCAAACATGTTAATCTATATAATAAAACACATAAGAAATTGAATTTTATCTCTTATAAGAATTATCATATCACTTATTTCTATAACATGTTCAATCATTTAATATTTGATTAATTTATAATTTAACATATTTTTTTCAGTTATTATCTATATATACACAATAATATACATATGTTGAAAAAATTTTATCAAATTACCTATTTTGAGAAAATTTTGTCAATATTTTTTAAAATATAATAAGTAAAAATAAATTTTGAATGATATAATAAAAAATGAAGGAAAAAAATTTATTATTTTTAAAACTTAAATTTTATATTTTATCTTATTTTTGAGTACGAGTGTTATGACTAATAAGATAATATAACTTATGTGTACATTAACTAATAAATTAAAAAAGTATACTGTGTCCTGTCTTTCAATTGTCACTTCGACCCACAATATTTGAAAAATAGTTCATAGACCCACTCAACTCGACTGACCTAGTGGTATTATATGACTAATGTGAGTGAAGTACCAAGCATTTAGGATGATACACGCGGCGTAAAGTCATTCAATTATCCGGAAACTTTTTCAGTCACATGTTCTCTTAAAATGTTTTATTATTTCTTTGTCCCCCACCCTAATGTCAATTCACTTGCTCACCACACAACAGTACACTACAAAAGCATGTTGTTTCTCCAATGTCATTGGATTATTTATTTTTAGAGACGGAGATTCCTCTCGTATACTTCGATTAATCTATGATATATATATCATTTATTAAAAAAAATTTAAGAGGTCAAAATAGATTTAGATTGACACTTTTTAAAGGTAAAATTTTTTTTCCAATAAATAATCTTTGTAAGTAAGGTCTCGTAGGATCAACTCCTCCATAAAATATCTTAGCTACCTTCAATCACCCATTAATGATAAGTATTCATAAAATCTTAGAGTTACACACAAAAATCGAACTTAAAATATTTAAATTTATGATTGACTCTAAGCCTTTCCCCCTATTGAGATCTCCTGTCGGAATATTATTGGTCCATGACTTTGATGGAATTTTTTTTTAGTTTAACGATTAGTGGTGTTTGAATCAATTTATACATATTTTGATTAATCTTTTCTTTGATCCAGTTAAAAATAAATTATCCACTTAAGACTATAATATTAATGAGAAATAATTTTTTCAAAAGCTTGACATCTGACATCTCATTTTTATCGTTCATGGTATAGTACAAAATGCATTACGCCTTAAGGTCCACGTAAGAGGAAATCATAGTGTCATGTCCCATTCGAATCTCACCCCTGAATTATTGGTCCATTCGTAAGAACAGTGGACAAATAATGGAAACAAACAGGGAATTTGACGATGTACACAATAATTTTGGACAAGATTAACAATTGAGTGTGTAATAAAGTGTAATTAATAGACAATAAATAAAATAATTAATGACAGTAAAATAAATATGCAGTCAATGTATAAATATATAGTGGTTCAGTTCTAATGACTTATTCCATTCTAAAAAATGACAATTGTAGCTAAGGGGCTCTTATTGATGAATAAGGTAAACGGGAGAGAGAGTAATGATTAACTCCGAAAGAGATATAATAATTATGAGAGAGAAGTTATGTGTGTGTAGGAAGGTGTAGAAAAGTGTGGCGAGATGCAAAAATGTGTCATCTCATATAGAGAGGATTTATAATTTATAGACATAGTGAGGTGGTGACGTGAGTGTAAGGGTACTAATTTTTCGGGGAGGATAGTTACAAAAGATAAGTACACTAAAGGTAGTCTTGATTTTTGGGAGGGAGTATCCCGATAATTGCTCCTCATGTGCTCTAATTCTTTTTGGACTCCTTGGAACTTGGAGTAGGTCAGATTGGCAAATTGGTCTCGACCTGCCTTTTAGTTGATTTGGACTTACTGAATTTATTGGGTCTAACATGATCAGATTTGAGCTCATCATAATTTTTCATCCATATCAATCACATTATTTTTTGCTTTTCATGATGCAACGTTAACTGTTTTATAAAAGGGTAATACTTTTTAAATTTGAAAAATATAATCTAATTTATGGACAAAAAAATATATAATACTACATGGTTCAATAAAAAAATTTAACATTCTTTAAAAATTGGACTTGTTTGGAACTGATTTTTGTGGGCATAAAATAAAAGTTTGAAAAGTAAAATTAAAAAGTTAGAGTTAAAAAAACACTTAAAACCGTTTGCACTGTTTTAAAAAAAATCGATTTTTTCTTGGAAGTTTTTGGATAATTCTCATTTTTGAGCTATTCCTTGGTGATGATAAAAGCTTTTTTTGTTCAAAAAATTGATGAAAAAACAGTTCAATAAACCTGAGTTCAAACTATTCAATTTTTTTTTTCTCAAAAAGAAACTAAGGTTTTAAATCAATCCTAAACACGCCTATTGATAATGGTCATATCATCCAATATTAAATTTTCGATCTTAAATTATATATCAAATGAATTGAGATTTTGGGATGAATAGACCCGTCAACATTTTTTTTTTTTTTAAGAAAACTAATTCATCCAAGGTCTCGGACTCTCTATTTATTTTAGATCCCAAATTAAGAAAGCATAGAATTTTCCATAAATTATTGTCCCGTGATCAATATATGAAGCTCTTATCATATATTTTTAGAATAAGTTATGGTACTATTTTTTTTTTCATGTCTTATCACAATATATTATCTTTAATATTTAAGTCACATCTTACAAAAAAAAATTAAAATTAACCATTGAATATCGATATTTAAGATTGTCAAAATATAACATCACTCGTTAATACGACACAGACATACACGAAATTAGAAGATTTAAGTCTTTCTTAAATAAGTAAATTTAATACGGTACAATTAATAAATGAATTAAATATAAGTAAAATTAATCAAAAAAATATATAATACAACTCATTTAAATATCGATTATATATAACATAAATTAGATATGATACGATTTGTCAAATATAAATTAATAAATAAATTTATTATAAAAAAATATTTTTTAACATAAATTCAATAAAAATCCTGTATCACCGGAAACGATTGACAAATCTATCGGTACCGTAGAACGTGATGCTTTGATAATCACAAAGTATTAATATAAGAGGACTCAGTTGTAATATACAGGTGTAGGATTACACCTCTTCGGAATTTTATTATCACTCGTCTCCTTCCACAGCACTCTCCCTTTGTCTCTCTTCCCAAAAAGGGTTCTCTTCTCTCACTAAACTGGGAAAATGCCAACCTTTTTGTCCACTTGTCTTCCCCGGTCGTTGCTCTCTCGGTCAACTGAGTCTTGCTCACCACTTAATCCTACGCCCAGGGAAGCCCACCTTTGACTACAGGCTACTCTTTCCCTCTCTCCTAATCATATAAGAACACATCTTGTATCCATATATATACATGCACCACACTGTATCACCATACAATATCACTCTGATATTTTAAAACCTAATACAACAATAGACTGACATAGTCACACCCATTCACCAACAGAGACCAAAAAGCTCCACAAACAACGCAGGTTCTTCAAGAAGCATCAAATAAGGGTATGTCTGTGTTCCTCTCCCACTTATATTCAATGAGGTACGTCGTAGGAGGTGATTTCCTCCTCAATCCCATTCTCTTACGCGGGTTTTCTGGTTCTGTGCACCTAGTTTTGTTGCTTATTCTATTTATCTCATGGGTTTGCAAGAAAATTAGGATCAATAAGACTGAGGGCCAAAAACAGAGTGTTAGAATCACCAGGTTCTCGTATCACAAACGAACTATGTTTTTTTGTCTGGGTCTGTCACTGTTTAATCTTGTTCTGTGCTTATTGAGCCACTTCTATTGGTATAGAAATGGTTGGTCTGAGGAAAAGGTTGTGACCCTTTTAGATTTGGTAATCAAAACACTTGCTTGGTTAGTTCTCTCTGTTTTCTTGCACACCCAGTTCTTTAATTCAGGTGCATCAAAGTTCCCAGTTGCTTTAAGAGTTTGGTGGGGGTTTTTCTTCTCTATCTCTTGTTATTCCCTTGCTGTGGACTTTGTTTATTACAAAAAGCACCGAGCTTTACCAGTTCAATTTTGGGTGTCTGACATAGTTTGTAGTATTTCTGGGTTGTTCTTCTGTTTTGTGGGGTTTTTAGGTAAGAAAGAAGGTGAAAATGCCCTTCTTCAAGAACCCCTTTTGAATGGTAGTGCTAGTAATGGTATAGAGTCCATTAAGTCTGGTGGGGGTGAAACTGTGACCCCTTATTCCAGTGCTAGTTTCTTTAGTGTCCTTACTTTCTCTTGGATGGGTAATTTGATTGCTGCCGGCTCCAAAAAAACTTTGGACCTCGAGGATGTTCCTCAGCTTGCCAGTATTGATAGTGTCAGGTCGGCTTTTCCAATTTTGAGAAATGAGGTAGAATCGGATTGCGAGAGTAGTAGTAAAGTGACAACATTTGTGCTGGTGAAGGCTTTGATTTTCACGGTATGGAAGGAAATTCTATTATCAGCTTTTCTTGTGCTTGCTTACACATTGGCTACTTATGTCGGCCCCTACCTCATTGATACTTTCGTTCAATACCTTAATGGTCGTCGCGGAGTCAAAAACGAAGGTTATCTTTTGGTTTCTACATTCTTCATTGCAAAGGTAGTTGAGTGTCTTGCACAGAGGCACTGGTTTTTTAAGGCCCAACAGGCTGGATTTAGAGCTAGGGCTGCATTAGTTGCCATGATCTACAATAAGGGTTTGACCCTTTCATGTCAATCAAAACAGAGTCACACTAGTGGGGAGATCATCAATTTCATGACCGTTGATGCGGAGAGAATTGGTGAATTCGGTTGGTATATGCATGATCCTTGGATGGTGCTCTTACAAGTTGCTTTGGCTTTGGCAATCTTATACAAAAATCTTGGGCTTGCTTCAATTGCTACATTTGTTGCTACTGTGCTAGTGATGTTGGCAAACTTTCCTTTGGGAAAGTTGCAGGAGAAATTTCAGGAAGAACTAATGGCATCTAAAGATCGAAGGATGAAGTCCACGTCCGAAATTTTGAGGAACATGAGGATTCTCAAGCTTCAGGGTTGGGAGATGAAGTTCTTGTCAAAAATTGTCGAGCTCAGGAACACGGAGGCAGGATGGTTGAGAAGATACGTGTACACTACCGCCATGACCTCTTTTGTTTTTTGGGTCGCCCCAACATTTGTGTCTGTGGCCACGTTTGGTGCTTGTATGCTTATGGGAATCCCACTGGAATCAGGGAAGATATTGTCTGCACTTGCAACATTTAGAATACTTCAAGAGCCTATTTATAATCTTCCTGATACAATTTCAATGATTGCTCAGACCAAAGTTTCCCTTGACCGAATTGCTTCATTCCTCCGTCTTCATGACCTGCAGCCGGATGTTATACAGGTGCTGCCGAGAGGTACATCTGACACAGCCATAGAGATAGTTGATGGGAATTTTACTTGGGATGTGTCTTCTCCTACTTCAACTCTCAAAGATATAAATCTCAGGGTGTCTCGTGGAATGAGGGTTGCTGTTTGCGGTACCGTTGGTTCAGGCAAGTCGAGCTTAATCTCTTCTATCTTGGGAGAAATGCCCAAAATATCTGGAGCTATTATGCTAAGTGGAACAAAGGCTTACGTTGCTCAGTCACCCTGGATACAGAGTGGGAAGATTGAGGAAAATATACTTTTTGGTAAGGAAATGGACAGAGAGCGGTATGAGAAGGTTCTTGAAGCGTGTTCCTTAAAGAAAGACCTGGAAATTCTCTCCTTCGGTGATCAGACGGTTATAGGTGAGAGAGGAATCAATTTGAGTGGTGGACAGAAACAGAGAATACAGATTGCGCGTGCCCTGTACCAAGATGCTGATATCTATCTTTTTGATGATCCATTTAGTGCGGTGGATGCTCATACAGGGTCCCATCTTTTCAAGGTAATTACTCTCTAACTCTCTGGTCCTAATTCCTCTAGAGCTATATTTTTTTTTCTGAGAAGCATTATTCGCATTTACCTTTTCATTTTGCACTGTTTCCACTGGAATTGGAGTGTTTCACTCAACAAGGGTAGTATGAATTGCATTTCCCTTTTTCCTCTGTTTGGCAAAGATCGCATGGATTGTCATGAAAAGGAATCATGGTTTCTATTTAATTATTACTACACTGATTTGGCCAAGTACTTGTAAAACAATTATTTCTGTATGCATATCATTGGATTATTGATATCCTTGTAGAAGGTCAAAATTAGTTGTATATAGCTGTGATACCATCTCCTTATGCCCTGCCTTGTTTACTTTGCTCTTCTTTCATTCTTCTTTTGTATTTAAGTAAGGTAAATTGATGAAGTATGCTGTGATAATCGTTGTATGGCAGGAATGTTTACTGGGGCTTCTGGGTACTAAAACAGTTGTTTATGTTACTCATCAAGTGGAATTCTTACCTGCTGCAGATCTTATCCTGGTGAGCTACTTACTTGTTTCTTCATTGTCATTGTGGTTACGGACAAAACTCACCCAATGTAATGATTGTTATCAGGTCATGAAAAATGGGAGAATTTCGCAAGCTGGAAAATATGAAGACATTCTAAATTCAGGAAGCGACTTTATGGAACTTGTGGGTGCCCATAAGGAAGCTTTATTGGTGCTTGATTCTGTAGAAACACGTTCAGGCTCAGGAAAATCAAATATCAGCGAGGAAGTTGGTGGTATTGGGGATGCTAAGAAGGTTCTCAAGGATGAGAAAACTGCAGTTGGTCAAAATGGCAAAGCAGATGATGTTGGGGGGCCAAAAGGTCAGCTTGTTCAAGAAGAAGAAAGAGAGAAAGGTAAAGTTGGTTTTTCAGTCTACTGGAAATATATCACAACTGCGTATGGAGGAGCACTTGTGCCCTTTATATTGTTGGCACAAGTTTTGTTTCAGCTACTTCAAATTGGAAGCAATTACTGGATGGCATGGGCAACTCCGGTCTCCAGCAATGTACCGGCTCCTGTTGGAGGCTCTACTCTTCTAGTTGTCTATGTAGCTTTGGCAATCGGAAGTTCTTTTTGCATCCTTTCGAGGGCCTTACTTCTTGTAACGGCTGGGTACAAGACTGCCACAATACTGTTCAATAAAATGCACTTCTGCCTTTTTCGCGCCCCTATGTCTTTCTTTGATGCCACCCCTAGCGGACGAATTCTGAACAGAGTAAGTGTGAAATATGCATTTGTTTGTTTGTTTGTTTGTTTATACAATTGTTATTATTGTTCAGTTTTATATTTTCTACAATATGAGTGCTCGATGATTTTACATACTTCTACAAATCCAAAATTTTATTAAACCAAGCTATGTTCTTCTCACAGGCATCTACGGACCAAAGTGCAGTGGATTTGAACATTTCATTTCAAGTTGCCGCTTTTGCCTTCTCAATAATACAACTTCTGGGAATTATTGCAGTAATGTCGCAGGTTGCTTGGCAGGTCTTCATCATTTTTATTCCTGTCATTGCAATTTGCATCTGGTTACAGGTAGCCTTATATTCCCTTCTCAGAATCTTATAAAGTAATTTCAAATTATGNTTCCTGTCATTGCAATTTGCATCTGGTTACAGGTAGCCTTATATTCCCTTCTCAGAATCTTGTAAAGTAATTTCAAATTATAGTTATCGTTTTGTTGTACCATCAGTAATCTCAAACCTTGTGGGCGCATGGATTTGCTATATTCTCGTTCTTTTATTTAACCCTATGCCCAAGTTGAGGGCATGTTTTTGTCCATGCATGATTGTAGTAGTTCCTCATGATCTTCTTAATTGCAGCAATATTACATAACTTCAGCACGAGAATTGGCACGGTTAATTGGAGTATGCAAAGCTCCAGTTATACAACATTTTGCTGAAACAATCTCAGGATCAACTACAATTAGAAGTTTTGATCAGGAATCTAGATTCCGGGACACAAATATGAAATTGATAGATGGGTATTCTCGCCCAACATTTCACAGTTCTGGTGCAATGGAGTGGCTATGCATTCGCTTGGATATGTTGTCTTTAATTACATTTACATCGTCCTNAGTTTCATAGTTCTGGTGCAATGGAGTGGCTATGCATTCGCTTGGATATGTTGTCTTTAATTACATTTACATCGTCCTTGGTTTTTTTGATCTCTGTTCCGGAGGGAACAATTGATTCGAGTAAGTGGTTCTTGTTTATCATCTTTGTCAATTATCCTTTGCTTCTGCAATTGTGAATGGTGTGAAGAATACATGACACGCTCTTTTATCCCCTTGTGTGTTTAAAGGTGTTGCGGGATTAGCANCTCTTTGTCAATTATCCTTTGCTTCTGCAATTGTGAATGGTGTGAAGAATACCTGACACGCTCTTTTATCCCCTTGTGTGTTTAAAGGTGTTGCGGGATTAGCAGTAACNGATGGGTATTCTCGCCCAACATTTCACAGTTCTGGTGCAATGGAGTGGCTATGCATTCGCTTGGATATGTTGTCTTTAATTACATTTACCTCTTCCTTGGTTTTTTTGATCTCTGTTCCGGAGGGAACAATTGATTCGAGTAAGTGGTTCTTGTTTATCATCTTTGTCAATTATCCTTTGCTTCTGCAATTGTGAATGGTGTGAAGAATACATGACACGCTCTTTTATCCCCTTGTGTGTTTAAAGGTGTTGCGGGATTAGCAGTAACATATGGGCTTAATCTTAACATGTTACAAGCTTGGGTCATATGGAATCTTTGTTCTATGGAGAATAAAATTATATCAGTTGAAAGAGTACTTCAATACACTTCTCTCCCTAGTGAGCCTCCTCTTGTTATAGAATCAAACGGGCCAGAGGCAGACAGNTTTGTTCTATGGAGAATAAAATTATATCAGTTGAAAGAATACTTCAATACACTTCTCTCCCTAGTGAGCCTCCTCTTGTTATAGAATCAAACGGGCCAGAGGCAGACGGTCACTGGCCATCACAAGGTGAAGTTGACATTCGTGATCTCAAGGTAAATTTGATTTTTGGTTGGTCTTTCTCTATGCCAAATGAGTTCTCAAAGTAATATGTAGGGTCATTCATGGGTTCTCCATACTCGACGTCTGTATGCATGTTGCTAATGCCAAGCATTGATATAGGTGCGATATGCCCCACACATGCCACTTGTGTTAAGAGGCCTCACATGCACTTTCTCTGGACGAAAGAAGACTGGCATTGTAGGAAGGACGGGCAGTGGTAAATCAACACTTATACAGACACTCTTCCGTATTGTTGAACCCGATGGTGGACACATTTTTATAGATGATATCAACATCTCTTTGATCGGGCTGCATGATTTAAGATCTAGATTGAGTATAATTCCACAGGATCCAACCATGTTTGAGGGGACGATAAGAGGAAACCTGGATCCACTGGAAGAGCATACGGACGAACAGATTTGGGAGGTGGGATGGCTTTATTTGATGCTTATATTTGTTTGGAATAAAAATGGGAAAAATGCAAATGTCCGGGATTGATTTCATAATTCTGTAAATACGTCATTAAGGCTGCGTAGTCAACTGTTTTTCATTTGTTTAGGCTCTCGATAAGTGTCAGCTTGGAGACGATGTTAGGAAGAAGGAAGGCAAACTTGATTCAGCAGGTTTACTTTATTTCCACTTTCACATGATCTCCAGAGATTTCTTTAACTCCTACAATCACTGGAATTCTTATTTCTCATTATTCCTATAATTTTTTCAGTTAATGAGAATGGAGATAATTGGAGTGTGGGTCAAAGACAGCTGGTCTGTCTTGGCCGTGTGTTACTCAAGAAAAGCAAGGTTTTGGTGCTTGACGAGGCTACAGCATCAGTTGATGCAGCAACTGATAATCTGATTCAGCAAACCTTGAGGCAACACTTCTCCGACTCCACAGTCATAACAATTGCACATAGAATAACATCTGTGCTCGACAGTGACATGGTCCTACTATTAGATCATGGTTAGATCACATTCAGCCTTCAGTACATATTATTATCCTTGAGGCTTTGGAGTAAAATAATCTTGACTTTTTCTTTATTCCTCTGGTGCAGGATTAATCGAGGAATATGATACTCCAACCAAGTTGCTGGAAAACAAGTCATCTTCGTTTGCTAGGCTCGCAGCAGAGTATAGCATGAGATGAAATTCTAGTTTCGAGACTTAGAGAACTTTGAATGCCGGACCACACCATTAATGGCTGATGTTATGCGACGATGATGAAAATCGAGTTGTAGTTATTGTGCTAGGTATAATTTGCCCTAATGGATGGGGGCATCTTCTATGATCCAAACTGTTCTCCTATTTGAGTGTACGTGATATATGGAAAGCCAAGTTATACGTAGGCATATGTTCTACGCAAGATGCGTTATGATTTTTATAATGCAATGGGGTTCATGTATATTGCTATAAATTCTAATGCATGTTAAGTTGTATTACTACGTCAGATGAATAATCAATAAAGAGTTGGTATTGAGTATTATTATGTGTGTAGGGATGAGTTTGACTGGTTTTACGCGTTTATTTGAACATGTTTGAGGTAGAGACCAGAGAAGATATGTATATATGATGGTTTTTCTTTTTCTTTGTTGATTGATTTTTGATCTTGTTTTATAACGTGCATGCACACATAGAGAGACTAAACGGCACGCCACTACCGAACATAGTGCAACTCATGTGTTTCATTTTCAAACAAAAATCTTAATGATAGTTTGAGTGAGAGTTGTTATAATTTTATGATATTAAAAATACAAATTGAGGAATTTAATCTTTGTTTTCCTGATGGCATATTCGTCATCACATCCAGGTCTTGCAAATGGGTCGTGACCTCAAGATGAGTGATGAACATCTTTTGATCAGTCTCATATTATTATATTCTCATTTGGTATAAGCATATGAGATGTTTTTTGTTTTTGGTGCATTTTGTCAAACACATGCGTAGGAAAATGCATGAGAAATTATAAGGAGATAAAATGACAGGAGACTTTCACTCCTTTTCCAAATAATGAAAACGTAATGGGGCATATGATTGGGGGGGGGGGGGGGGGGGGGGAAAAGAA